TGTTTTTATTTTGTTCGTTATGGAGGAAGAGCGATTGCAGTTAAAATAAATAAGCTGAAGTGAAAAAAATTAGAGAAACCATTTTTCTCCAGCTTTTTCCTTCCCCCGAACTCATTCTATCGCACGCTCGGCCACTGATACATAAGCCAACTGCAGCGCTTTAATGCTGATATCGTTGATTGCTTGCTCAGACTGATTATTATTATATCGTTGGCGTTCAATTTAAACCGCCATGAATTTCATTAAAAAAAACGAGCAAATATTCTCTCGCTCTCTCTTTCTCTCTCTCTCTCTCTCTCTCTCTCTCTCTCTCTCTCTCTCTCTCGTGACTCCGGGCAAAAGTTATTATGAAAACACAAAAATGCACAACAAAATACAACATGTGAGCGTACTTTGATAAGCGATAATATTGGGTATTTATAGAACAGAATGAGATGAAAACTGAAGCAAAAAAACGCACACACAATCCTGAATAATAGTGCCATTAAAAAACATAGAGAAGCAATAAAAAATTACTTCGTAAACAAACAAGAAAATGCATGAATGGAATGTGCTCGGATCAGACGTTGAAAACGAACTGTAAAAAGGAGAGAAAATAAAATGGAGACAAGAAGAAGAGCACAAGGAGCACACTATCTGCTAATAGTGGCATTAAAAATGGGCAAAGAAAAAAAAGGCCAAATGGTAAACAGTACACTGGACAAAAACCGATAAACAGCAAATATTTTCCAACTAAGACCTACTACTGATTGCAACGTCATTAGAAATAAAATGTGGAATCGAAAGAAAAAACAAAAAAACAGGGAACAAAAATAAACAAAACTGTGAAAAAAACACACAACATTTTCGTTGCCGTATCATTTAGCTAAAGAGATGGTATAGTTATGAAGTGCTTTTATCGTTAGTTGTTCTCTCTCTCTATAGATGTGTTTATCGTATTATTGTGCGTATAGAATTTTGATCCTACGAGAGAGCGGGAGACGTCTGTTTGCTATCCTTGAACAGTGAAAAATGCATTCGTCGCCCTTTTTTTTCGCCTCTCTTCATCTGTCTCGTTCCACACTCAATTTCAAATGTGTTAGCACTACGTGCTCTGATCCGTGCTTCGAATGTGTACACGCTGAGGATATCCGTTAAATGAATTAATCCTTACTAATTACTCACAGTCGTTCGGTTAAATATTTTCTCACAAAATACCGTTTGCTTTCAATTTTCTCCGTTTTTTTTCGCTCGCTCAATTTCTGTTTTCATAGTTTTCAAACTACTTGACTTCTTCAAATGGATGATGATGTGTGAGAACCGTAAAAGTTGTTCATTTCTCGAATTTTTCGTCCGTTATTTTCTCAATGAAGAAACCGATTAAGCATTTTTCTTTAAGATTTTTTTTCTAAATGCGAGACGAAATTGCAGTTAAATGGGAAATCCACACGACAAAAATTCCATTGAAGTCAAGCGATTTTGACGATTGAAATTCGAACGATTCAAACTTTTTGATGTCTCTATTAATACGGTTTTAACGAAATCTGTCCGTTGCTTCTTTTTTCTACTTCCAAACATGTCACTCAACAGGTTTATTTCTCTTTTTTTTGTGGGTCGTTTGCTATCGACTTTGAATTACGACGGGATTTTAAGTGTCATCCAGAAATCATAAACTTGAATTAGCCTAACAATGGACAAATTGCCTCAATGACAGAAAATAGCATTGTTCCCAGTTTACAAAGGGAACAAACTGTCAATGGCAAGGAAATGATAAATACGCTGGATAGACGATAAACACTGGTGCTTTTGGATACGACATACTTAGAATGTGCGTAGATAAGTAGTGGCTATTGTTGTCTGCCTTCGAGATTTGTGCATCAATGTTCCGGTTTATGTGCGGGCAATAAACAAAAAACTGAACGTCATGCGTGCTTTATGGTAATATGAACTGGATATGACAATCTAAATAAAATTGTAAAAAAAACACAGCACAGAACTCTATATATGTTTCATTTTTATTTAAGTCATACGTTTACAAGTGGGTATTATTTAACAACAAGCCGGCGACTTTGTTACCAATGAAAGTTGAGTTGAGCCAAGCGTTCAGTCAGCAACAGTTTATTACTTCTTTTTCTCTTTCTCTTACACTAATGCCGTATCAATTAGGTCATTTTAGTTATTAACTTTCTCGAAAAATTATTTTGTTGAATGTTTTGCGTGTTTGACGCCTATTTTCAGCGCGCTCAAGTGCAAATTCCAAAATAAATTGAAGACTAATCAGTGAGACGCGACTAGTGTGGAGAGAGAAAGAGCGTGTGTATGCTCGCGTTCATAATACGTGTTAGAATTGGGCGAAGTTTTAAAACCATGAAATTAGTTAATAGTTTTCGTTCCCATGTTGAATCGGGTTTTTATTGAGATTAAAGAGCTGTGGCGAGAGGATTGGTGGCGTCGACGGTCATAAATCGCATGAAATGGCGTTAGAAGTTCGCCGAAAAGAAGATGCATGTCACTGGAAAAATTGACCGCCCACCATAGCAAATTCGTTTGCATTGCAACGTTTTCGCTGTTTGTTCTCAACGCTTTTTTTTTGTTTTTGTTTCCAATGATGACCAAAAACTGAATGAAATTTAACTATCAAATTGAGGAAACGCAAGAGATTGGGGCCATGGCTGTTTTATGTGTTTTGATCTGAAATCGTGTCGGAGGAACAATAAACCAAAATGTGTAGTTCCATTGACTTTCGGCTGTAATCAGCATGTATGAGAATGTTCATAGAAACAATGACACATCCTGTGTTGTTTAGTTCGGCGTTTTCCGTGCGGAAGAATTAAAACAATTTTATGCGCGCTGACAATACATATCCAAAAAAGCGAGCGCATAGCAACAGGATAGAAGCATTCGGAATTTAACGGTTTTAATGAGCCAACTATAAAAATTCGAAATGCCGATGGAGTACGAAATGTTGTCGATCGTTCAGGCGATCGGATGAACGTTTTCCCGCGATGTCAATCAGTGGCGCGAACATAATACGTTGACGTAGTCGACGTCGTCGTCGTCGTCGTCATCGCATAAAATAACCGAGTTGGAAAAATTCTTCGGCAGAGTGTATGAGGCGAGTGTGTGTGATGTAGTGTGGAATCTCAGTTTGGATGTTGATAATTCCGTTTTCCGGAAGCAACCACCATATACGTGCAGAGAGTGAGTGAACGAGCGTGTGCGCGAGTGCGCGCATTTCGACAAGCAACGATTCAATTCTCGAACGTATAATGAATATGCATGAATCGCGCGGAGTTGAGAACGAACGAACGTATGAACGAGCAAGCAACTGAGTGCTTACACTTGTGACATGATTGTGTGTATCAATATTATCGCGTACGAGGTGAAGTACCAAGAATACCGATTCAACCATGAATGGCAGTCAGATGAAGCAAAAAGCACCATACCATTCCAACGCTCTATAATCAACGAATATTCATCGTACGTTCGATGAACATCGACAAAGAATCAACATTTATGTTTCGACTTGAACGCAGAATGTACGTTTAACTTGAGAGTGTTGTTGTGGCTGGCAGCGAGAAATCCGAATTGAAACGTACTTACGTACTATGCCTTTGTGTATTCCGCTCCATCACAATAATATTCCACAATGGTCTCTATCACTCTCATTCTCACACTCTGTCTCACTCGTTCCTCATTGAATCTCTTTTTCGGGTTGCATTTTTGCCCGTTTTTCCGCTACCATTACATTTTACATCAAACTATTATTGTTATTACAACTTTTATACACATCGTTCGTTTTGAAATGAAAACGGATATTGATAAATATAAAATTCAAAATGAGAAAATCGTGTGTGTGTGTGTGTGTGCGTATATGTTTCTGTATATTGCATGCAAACCAAACGTACCAAAGACTTTACTGTATGTATTTTTACAACCAAGAATTTTTTGTGTTGTTTTCTTCTCGTTTTTTGTTTTGTTGCCAAGAAGGAGAAGTAGAAGTGAACGAATGCATCGAGCAAGAATTATGATAACAATGTATACACAACGAGCATGCCCGATTGAACATTGATTTCGACTATTGAACGTGAAACCACTGAGGAAATAAACAAAAAAAATAGACAAAGTACGGATAATAATATACACTGGTTCATAGATAAACGATCGGTTTTTTGCCGATTTTTTTCCCTCTTTTTCGCTCTTCACTTCGATTTTCTTGTCTTTTTCTCGTTTCGGTTCAATTTTCTTTGCCTCCTTTTCCCTCTTTGTAGCTCAAATGCATTTATGAGAGAGGTTGGTACGAAGCGATTATAATTTGTTAGAAACTGATGTAAACACTAACATTAACCCAATCGGTTGTAAATCACGAAATAAAATTTATGTTTATCACAAGCAGCGATTTGGTTCTCTTTTTTTTATTATTTTATGTTAGTTATCACTGTGATATGGTAGCAATCAGTTAGGCGTGATTTAAATGGAGCTATTGGGTCATAAAATGCCATCGATCGGTATTTATATGGTTGAAAAGAAAGAAAATCCAAAAATAGTCGGCGTCGCCAAAATGAAACGCGTTGCGACGTGATTTTCATGACAAATGAATGAAAAGTGACTAACGCAGCTATCACTTGGCAACTTGGTTTATCAATTATGGTTTTTGAATTGAAACAAGAAACTATCATTGACATTCAGCACAAGAAACGCAATCGATCTCGTCATTGTTACTCGCAAATCGACTAATTGATTCTAGTTGTTTTTTTTCTTCAATATCTATTGTTTCATATCGCGAGTTGGCGCGCGTGCCTTCGTTCGCACATATGTGAAGTTAAGAATCGCAAAGCCGTCGTCGTATTTCAATGACGTTAATTGTTACATGGCTTTCACATTACGATTTCTGTTCGCATTGATCTCTACATATCAAATGAAATTTACATACAAACTCCCATTGAATTACGACGATTGGAATGTTGAACCATATTTGCTTCTCCTTTTTTTTCAAATTGAAAAATGAAAATACAACTTACATGTTAACGATATAAGAAATCGACTCTAGTCTGGATTTCGTCAGCTGTAATGAAACAAAAAGAAATGTTTTTGATTAGGTTTTGTAAGTGCGCATGGAATTCGTATGTTTTGCTTTTGAAAAATATACTTTGATAAATGATGTGATGGGCGAAAATAACAACGAAAAAACCATTTGTGTATTATGTCGATAAATTGGTTTGCATGACTGTAGCAAAAACCACACTCAGATTGAAAGCTTCAATTCGAATATTCGTTATTTTTCTTTCATCAAATTTGTCGAAATTCGAGCGAAAAAAACCTATGAAATTATGAAAGCGAATTGTATAATGGTGCACTGATAGCAAAATGTAAAATTGCATCATTCGTTATATTCAATTGACTGGGCCACTGGGTGACGAAAATGGGTGGCATATGATTGCAATTCATATGTGAAACGAAGTAACCGACATTTTGCGCCCGTATCATCAGCGTTAAGTTGAACGCAGCAAATTAACGACAAGATAGAGACACACAGAACCTGCGCAAATGTCATTTCAGCTCAGAAATTTTATGCAAACTTAATTGAATTGAAATTGGATGAGAAAACACGAAAGTGAAACAGAAATAGAGACAAAAAGAGTGAGCAAAACAGGCGAAAATGAATTCATTCATTTCAGCTGAAAATTGCAAATGACGAAGTGAAGCCAAAAGCCACAGAGCGCACCAAAAGGAAAATTTGTTTGAATGAGCAAATTATGTGCTCCATTCCATTTGGATTGCTTTGAAAATTTAATTATCAACACGCGACACAATAAATCAACCGTACAAAGGATGGTACTTGTTGTTCAATGTACTATTTCGTCGTAGTCGTTGTGCTGTTGTTGCTGCTGCTGCTGCTACTACTGTTAAACGCGCTAAATTGCATGCACACCTCGAACGTGCATTATTGTATAAGATGAATGATTCTCGAGGCCTCTTTATCTCGGTGGCTGTGGTTTAGCTAACGATGTAAATTACTCGGTTAAATTGCGTAGATCGCGTTTAAATGGCGTTTGCATTTTGTTGGCTCATGCCACCGCCGCATGATGAGGTGTGTGCACGCGCGCGCCCGCATCAGTCAGTCACACACACACACACACACAGAGAGAGAGAGAGAGAGAGAGAGAGAGAGAGTTTCAACTTGTGATGTACGCGTGCATCATATGTGAATGTATGGATTTTCGAAAAGGTACATTAACGATCAGCGTCAGCGAGCACTGAAGCGCAAATAAAACGTAAAAATCTCACATATCAATGTCATAATCGTTGTACAAACATTTTTCGCATTCCAATGAAATCGAAAATGAGAATGAAGAAAAACAAAAAAAGATTGAAGCAAAGCAAAGGGAGAATACAGTAGAAATCGAAGTAATCGCACGACCAACGTGGTTGTTGTCGTTTTCATCGTTGGCGTGCATGCCACAGTGTTGCTGCTGCTGTGGCTGTGTACAATCATCGCAAAAGCATGCGATAATAAAGTAGCGCTTGATATCTTCTGTGTTAGAAGATCATTTGAATATGATGTACTGGCTCGCCGAATAGCCGTTTGTTGCTTGTTACAGAATCACTCGATAGTATCGTGAAAATGCTAAATCCGTTGCTATGTGTATGAGAGTGCTGTGTGTGTATGTTTACTTTGAAAAGCGTCATTCGATCGAGTATTTTAAAATTCCAATGCGAATCGCAATCACTCATCTAAATATGTAACTTAATGACTGTTCGCTCGCACATTCCACAGAAAAAAGGCTTTGAATGAAACAAATATTTTACAAGCATTTGCGACTATGATAAAATATTTGATTTTGAACGTCGAAGCATTCTGTGTTAGACGCTTTAGTTGCGTGTATTTCTGCATGGAAAGCAGGAAAAAAAGAAGAACAAACGTTATTAAACAATGTGATTAGTTCAATCGCTTGTAAATCACACTCACACATATGGCCAGCTGGTTATGTTTCTGAGTGGCGCGCGATTTCAAAAATAGACGATGTTGTTGACGACTACAACGACGACAAGGATGGCGGCAGTGAATTAAAAAAAAAATTCAAAACTATTTTTGAAATGCGCAAAAAGCCAGCAATTTTACTACGTGTTAGGTCGATGTGGCTAAGCTGTGGCTCAAATGATAAAGTAAGGGAAAAAACAGCGGCAAATTATGCGAAATACCAAATGGAAAAAACAACAACGACAACGCAATACGAAGACCAATCGACAAAACGTCTATACAATAAATAACAAAGTGAAGTCAGAAGAAAAAACGTCAAGTACTTTTCATGTTTATAGCAAACATTGCAACAAAACGATGCTCATGAAAATGTATATATAGTACCAACTACTCATTGCATACGCAAAACAAAACCAATAAGTCGCCGAACAACGATCGTAAAATTTCCTTTCAACGGACGCGCAATGTGGCGCATGGAATGCGAATATTTGAAACCGAAGAAAAAAACCAAACACACAACAAGCAGGAACACTCCTAAAAGCATACAATTCATTTGGGCCGCGCGCAAATATCCAAACAATAAAAAGCACTAAACCGTTGGTGTGTGTGAGTGGATGTGTTTAAAAACGTTCTCTGCGGCTTTTGTAAGTTGTAATAAGTTGTGGACTCTCTCGGCGCAGAGTGTGTAATCTAAATAGAACGAAAACGCCAAGGCCGTATTATAATATAAACTACAAATAAATCTCAATCGAATAGATTTTTTTTATCTGACTTTTACGATTCCATTAAGTTGAGCCATAATGGATCGCCTTAGTCCGCGAGATTTTTATTTTCTCTTGCGCTCTCACTCTCTCTCGCTCTGCTCTCTCTTCTCTTTTCTATTTGACTCGATGCCATTCAAACAAAAAACAAAAATACGTTACAACACCTTTATTTTCATTTGTGCCTCATCGAAATTGCCCATTTGAAAATGAATAGCCGATATGACGGTGTTGTTGGGTGTTCCGATTTTGCGTCATTTGTTTGCTCATTGTTGATTTGCTTCGTTCGAACAGAAATCCGTGTCTCGAAAGTGTCGATACAACATGAAAATGATATTATTTTCTTACAATGTACACGGGCCGTGTCAACTTCAAGTATTGCAGCCATTGGCATATGGAATGAAGTGGATTGAAATGTTTTCGAGAAAACACAGACAAAAAAAATGTAAGGTCAAAATAAGATCAGCACTCTCTCTTCTGATTCGCGCTCGACATACAATTGTGCTCTGGTTGTGAAACCAATAGAACATGTCAAACATAGACTCGGAGCAAACAAAATGATTATTTAAATTCCACTGTCTCGAAAGAATTTTTCCGTTGGTTTTGCTCGTAATCCAAAATGTTGCCGAAATTAAATTGCCCGAAGAGACTGTGTCGATTCGGGGATTAGAGCCATGAGGTGGCAAAAGTTTGACACGAAGGAAATAACTTTTTTTTAATGGGAGAAAGACAAAAAAAAAGAATTTCGGTTCGATGTTTGACAAGAAAGGGGAATTTAGGTGATTTCGTTCTTTTTATCGCATGTGTAAAGTCGGGGTTTAAATAACGAACAAAAAAAAATTTCAATTATCTCCTTATTTCACATTCATTTGATATGGATTTGATCTTTATTGTGGGAAATATAGATGGAATTCGTTGACAACACCAACAACAACAACAGCAATAAACGATAACACGATGAATTATTCAACATGTTATAAAAAACGAATCCTGCCCGGTTTTTAATAGAATAATAACAATCTTTTTTTCGCCTATATGAATTTAGGTAACTTTTTTCATCTTCTTTTTGTGTGAATGTCGACAGGTTTGCGTTGTGTTCGATATAAACTTTTAATACTCTATTAAATCTGAAGTGAAAAAAGTCGACCGAAAAAATGAAGACGAGCGAGATGAACCGAGAGAAGATGACGAGAAATCGAAATAAAGCGAAGATAGACTCGAGTAGATAACTTCACCAATTAAATTATTTGTACGGTTGAGCGTATTTTTAGCGTGGCCCGTAATAGTAGACGCAATTAGATGTCATAAACAAATACACCGAAAAGTGTGTGTCTGTGTGCTCGGTTCGAATATTCGAGGGCGAGGTAATTTACAACATTACAAAAGCATCGAAGAAAGAGAAACAGAGCAAAGGATGGGGAGAGAAAGAGAGTGATTGAAAGAGATGGTGGCCGCTTGGTAACCGACACCAAAAAGACTCTAACATTAATTTGATTCGATTTGATTCCAAACGCATACACTCTCATCCACCGTCGACAGATTTAATTGAACGAACACCGAAATATATAATGCTGGCCGATTGAGAATGATGCCTAAAGTGCGATTCGTCGTTCTAGTTCTGTATGCCTTGCCGAGTCCGAGACCATGATTATTTCGACAAAGAAAAAAATGTTTCAGTTTTCCATCAAAGAGACGCTCTTACTCTTGAAATTCTTATGAATTGTTTTTGTTCGCTGCTGTGTATCTTTCTCGCTCACTCTCGCGCACACACTCGATGAAAACTCATTTTACGAAAGATCGACGACCATTCTAAAAGCGTCGACAATTTTTTATATTCCTTTTTCTTCTTCTCGTTTTCTTCGCTCTCGCATGTAGCTGGTGATTACCTTTTATAAAACGGTTACAATACCGTGTAATTTGCGGCAAGAGTGCGCATGAAACGACAACCAACAACAAAAACAACAAATCAGAGAGAAAAACACACACTGAAGATAAAGTTAAAGACACAAAATGAAGAAGGCAAAGAACGAAGAAGGTCGACACGTGAATTCTATACACATTCTAATGTTGTTGGCTTAGTATGGTTTTCGACTGCTTTTCTTTTTCGTCATTCACATTGAATCGGCAACAAAACAGCACACAGAAAGAGAATGCGAGAGCGAGAGAGCGATAGAGCGAGCACAGCATTTCGGAAAAATCGAAAATCCAATTTATATTATAGTAATTACAATTAGTATAGAATGTGTTTAGTTGTGAAGCCACATATAAGGTTTGAATCGGCTGCGCCGGTTGGATATACACATACCTAAAACCTAAAATTCG